ATTAAATAGATATGTCTAAAAATACTTCATTGAATAGATATGTCTAAAAATACTTCATTGAATAGATACATCTAAAAATACTTCATTGAATAGATATGTCTAAAAATACTTCATTGAATAGATACATCTAAAAATACTACATTGAATAGATACGTCTAAAAATATTTCATTGAGTAGTTTCGTCTTAAAATACTTCATTAAATAGATGTGTTTAAAAATACTGTATTAAATAGATATGTCTAAAAATACTTTGTTAAATAGATATGTCAAAAAATACTTCGTTAAATAGATTTGTCTAAAATTACTTCATGAAATAGATATGTCTAAAAATACTTTATTAAATATATATTAAAGATAAATTTTTAAATATTCAATATAAACATATTTCTAATAGAAGGAAAAGTGTAGCTACAAGTACAAAACCAGGTTGGCTCACAAAGAGTTTAATAAAATTAAAGAAAAGCATGGTAAATTTAAGAAATTTAAATTGATTGGTATGACAGGAGACTTAGAAGATTATAGAAGATCAAGAAACTTTGTGAAACAGGAAATTAGGACATCAAAAAGGATGTATGAGAAAAAGTTGGTTGAAAATGTAAAAATTAACAGTAAGGAGATCTTTAAATACATAAAGGGGAAACAAAATGTTAGGATAGGGATAGGACCCTTGAGGGATAACAAAGGAAGGCTAGTATCTGATGATTATGAGAAGGCTGGGTTATTAAATTTTACTTTTTCTTTGGTTTTTACTAATGAAGATTTAAGTATTCCATATCTTGATCAGTTGATAAATGGAAACAAGATAAAAAAAAAAGATGACTGCATTAATTTTGAGCTGGTTAAGAAAAAAATTGGGAAGTTTAAAAAAATGATAAGGCTCCTGGGCCTGGTTAAAGATTGGATATGTGAGCCACTTTCTACTATTTTTGTCAGGCCTTGAATAGTGGGCAGGTACCAGAGGATTGGAAGTTAGCTAATGTAACTCCTCTTTTTAAGGGGGGTGATAAAAATTGTCCCAGTAATTATACGCCCATTAGTTTTACATCAGTTATGGGAAACATTTTGGAAAGTCTGTTAAATAATGCTTTGCAAAGTCACATAACAAAATTTAGAATTTGATTGGACAGTCAACATGGTTTCACTAAGGGTAAATCTTGCCTTACAAATCTTTT